GTACTTCTAAATTTATTTTTTATTTTTAATAAAGTAAAATGCAGAAGAAAAATAAGTTAATTGGGAAACAGGTTCTTCTAGGTTTGAAAGCAAACGTTTGTTTTCATCATATTTTACAAACAAAAGCAGCTGATCTGACCTTAAAGGAGGTCTCTTACTCTTTTTTTAATTTAGGCCACAAAGAAAGGAGCAATGACCTAGACTATGGACAACTTTAAATAATTAGTTAAGAAAATGCCTTTTATTTTCAAAAAGTACAGACTTGTTAAAAATATATAATGATAGCACATTTCACCACATTTTAGAAAGGTGAATAATCCTGACAGTTACTATTGTTATCTAAAATAATATAGACAGTATGGGAAATACATTTAATGCTACCAAAAAAAAAATATGAATTAAGGACTTTTTTTTCAGAAAATTAAAAAATACTAGTAACAATATTAGGAAAATAAGAAATAAAGTATTTAGAGTAAGAAGTGGTGTGGCTGAAGCTCAAAGTGGATAGTCAGTATAGACAGTAAGTTATTTTGTAACCTGATGAAGGTACAGCTTCACCATTGCAATCTGAAATCTATACCTTTCAGTAACATTGGAATTATTCTAAAATTGTAATTTCAATTTCTAAGCATTAAATATATCAATTATATGGCAAATTGCTATAAATTAAAAAATTCAAATATCAACTTTAATTTATACAATTCCTACAAAATAAGCAAGATCTACAAAAATGAACAAAGATATACTGCGCACATTGATAATACAAGGGACCCTGACATTCTGTCAAGTGTACTTGTGACACATAAAAATGAAATCAGTCATTATATCTGCTATCTCAAAATAAGGATATTGAGACTGTATCAATTTTTTCAAATACTTAAACAAATTTGAGCAATGTAACTTACTTTCTCTGGATAAACTATCTTAGAGTAAACAGAAATATCAGGGCCTCCCTGGTGGCGCAAGGGGTTAAGACGCAACCTATGAAGCTATCAGCAGTCGCTGCAGCATGAGTTTGATCCCTGGCCAGAGAGCTACACACATGGTGCAGCAGACCTCTCCTATCCCACCCGCTGCTCCCCTCAGCAGTGTATTTCAGTCAGTCTGCCTGTTCTGTTCCCCACTCTGTCTCTGATAATTCCTCTCACCCTCCACACCTCTGGCCTGTGCCCCAGCTCTTGTCTCAAAAATGTATCTCATTCATCTTGTCCCCTAAGTATATTCATACCTACTGAACCAGCAACTTTTGGGAAACAATTCATGCACAAAATGCTGTGTCTATCAATATTTTTAACAGTTTCAAGGAAGTCGAGAAAGGGAGGGAAAGAGTTCTTAGCAATTGTACGCTTTATAAGACAAATTTTAGGTTTATAAATTCATTAGATCTATCTTAATTGCTCTTTTTCTCTCAGGTAGCCTATCCAATCCATTTTATCAAAACCTGTATATTATATCTGAAATACATCACATATTGAACCACTTCCCAACATTTTCACTGCAAAAATTCCTAGACCACATCACCACCATGTGTCTTGAGCAAAGTTATGTAACAGCCTCCTCTTTTCTGATTTCACTATGTCCTGTCAACAAACTGAGTTGTCCACTCAGCAACCAAAGTAACAGCCACAAAGTGGAAATCACATATTACTTCCTTGCTTAAAACCTAATGATTTCTACAGTAATTATAAGCAAAACCATACTCACTACTGTGGCCAAGATGATTTGGCACCTGCCTGTTTCCTTGACCACATTTCCTATCACTTTCCCATTTGTCCAAAGTGTTTCAGGAGTCCTGTTTTCTGTCTGTCCTTCAAACACACCACATGAATTTATTTTCATGGGTCACTGCATCTTATCCCATTATGTAGATTTCAGTTTTATGACCATCTTTAGAAAATTAATCATCAGCTTCTCTGACCTTTTCTATATTATGTATCCCTGACTCGATAGCCTTTGTTTCCATATATATTTTCTATATCCCCTTGAATATGAACATTTGGGGGCAGGTCACTACAATGTTCAAAACAATTATAAATGTGTTTGGCATACTGTTGGCACAATTGCCATTTATGGAATGAACTAACAAAGTTAATGTGTTCATAATGAATTTACAGATACAATTAACCCTTGTTAATTGTGTTCTGAAATAGCTTGACGAGACTGTAACCAGATGGATAACCTTCATGGTAGTAGAGGTGGTGGTTACACTGGAAGTTAAAAGGACCTGACAGACCTCTCTTTATGCCAGGAGGTTTCTAAGCTTTCTTTAATACTGACCTGGGAATAAAGACACAGTCAATATATGGTAGAAAGTAGGGGAAACACTGAAAGGCAGAAATATCTTCCTGAAATGCATGAAATATCTTCAGTTGTCAAGATCAATAACTTCTGATCATCTGAGAGAAAATGGACTGTCTAAAAGCAAGATCAGTTAAATAAATGTTATTTCTTTATTGCGAAAGAATAGGCAGTGTATAAATGTAGACTCTAATATAATAGCTACTAGCATCTTATTATTCAAGTAGCTAAGTGTTGACCTAGTGAGCTAAACTGCAGAGAGATTCAGCAATTCTGATTTCTACTGTACTATTAATAAGCTGTGTCATCTTGCTCAATTTTATTTTTTTTTTTTTTATAGAGGCATGTTTTTTTTTTTATTTATTTATTTGTTTGTTCGTTTGTTTTGTTTGTACATGCACTGGGTATAGTCAGAAGCGCGGGAGGGTGAGAGAATTCACCAGAGCCAGAGCGGGGAGAAGAACAGGCAGAAGGACTGAGGTACACTGCTGAGGGGAGCAGCGGGCGGCAGGAGAGGTCTGCACGCCATGTGGGACCCTCCTCCGGTGGCCGGGGAGCAGCCGGGAATCGAACCGGCGCCGCAGAGGCAGGGGGCAGCCTCGCAACCCAGCGCTCAACCGCTGCGCCACCGGGGAGGCCCAATCTTGCTCAATTTTAAATAGAATTTTTAGTGTGATCTAATGGAAAATGCTTGGACTACGGATCATATATTCCAGTGATACTGGAATTAATACCTCTGGGTTTCAGTTCATGCTATAAAACAAAAATCTCCTTATGTTCAACAATACTGTCATACTGAACAAATTACATATTATTTGTGAAAGCTTATAACCTGTAAAATATTGCACAAAATTAAAGAACTCACATTCAAATTTGTTGAGATATGTACTTTTTCATCATGTATAATTTTGCATATGCTAAATTACATTTTGTATGAGAGATCTGTTTTCTTTGTGGGCAAATGCTTCAAAGTCATGGAACATGAAAATGTATTACACAAATACATATAAACACAGTTTAAAGTGAGTGTTGAAGATTTGCCATCATTGTTTCTAGTTCTAACATTCAAGGATCTCTGACACAAAAGTTGGAGAGAACATATAAACTAAAACATTTTACTACACTAGAAGTTTTGTTGGCAGGCATGTGCTGTATAGCAAAAGGCACAGGTCTTTGAGGAGAGAGAAGGAAGGTATGTAGGAAAGTTTTGGGTGTGTGTGTGTGTTTAAACTGGAAAAATGTTAGGCTTCATTTATTTTGAGCCCAATGGACTTTTCATTGGAAATGGGAAATTTTCACATGTTAAGGAGAGTAAATTAAGTGGCAATATTACTATAAGGAAGATATGTCATGGAGGTTAAGAAAACATTGAAGTTTTCCTCAATTATAAATAAGGATAAGGCCCTGCTAATGGGGAGTTTCCATTTATTATATCTAACCCAGACTAGAAGATGTTATTGGTAATCCACAACACAATCCTTTCTGCAAAAAATCAGTTTTTTTTTCTCTTTTCCTCTTTCATAAGGAAAATAGACTTTATATTAAATCTTCTAATTCATTTAAACAGTATAAGTAGTCTTAGTACTAGTAGTTCAATTAGCAGGAGTAGCTTTATGGGGCATATACCTATTTTTAGTAACAACTTATTAAAGTCCCATTTAGAGCTAAGTTTCTTAATCTTTTCAAAAACTAAAATTTCATACATTGCATTAATGCCACAGAAATCAACAGTGTAGGTACATGTGTTTGTAAACATTATAGAAATAAAATTGTTGTTCTTTCATAGAATAAAACATTAAAACTCTGCACTGGGGATATTCTGTGACTTTTTAAAAGAATAAGTAACAACAGTCACCAAGAATTTCAATATAATTTCCTTCAATTTCATATTTTGTTTCAAATATTGAACATCTGCCAAAATTCACCAAAAAAAGTACCAAACAATTATGGATGACTTCTACTACTATCCTTCAAATAGAAACACACCCTAATAGAATTTGACAAATGCTGATTAAGTTAGTTACTTAATCAATGTGGTTAGAAAACACATCTGTTTTAGAAGCTCTACCAAGTAAAAGCGCACAAAAAGATATTTTCTAACTGCCACCCTAAGCATTGCTTCCAAAGGAGAGTTTTCGTATTTTCTTTCCAATAAAACAAAGTGGTCCTTTAACAACCATATGGCCCTATACTCTGAAAAGAAGTTTCATTCAGCATCTATTTTTAGAAACCGGTTTCCTTATAAAATATACTGCAGTCGCTGAGCTGAAAGAGCCCTCATGTTTCCATAGACAAAGTCTCCTGCCTTCTAATAAATTCTCCATGGCACTGCTACGTATTTCTTCCCTCTCAGTGAATAAGATACCAAATGGTACTGAATAACTTTCAAACAAGTTTTTTTTCACTTATTTTGAAAACCATTTTCAGAGAACAGAAATCTTTCCCACTTCTCCAATACATTACATATAACATGTTTTGCCAATAATATTAAGAATGGACCAGTCAAGGAACAAACATTTCTTTTACAGTCAATATCCAAACAGCATTAACATTGTTAGTTTTTAATTTCTTAGGAATACTGATGGGTTCAGAAATATTTTTTTGTTCTACCACTTGCATATGCCTTATTACATAATTGAATTTTTTAAAATAATATGTCTATTCTATTATAAAAGGAATAGAGTAAGAACTGATTTAATTACCTTTAGGATATCAATGACTGACTCTCAGGACACCAAAAAAGGTCATATGATATATACTAGTAGCATTTATATATTGTATCAACATCTGGAAAGAAGAATAAAGAGCAGATAGGGTCAAAAGTATTTCATTTGGAATCAAGCAATTGTTTTCATAGTAAATAAACAGGGATTAAATTTTATCTACTGATCATAGGTCAACAAAAACCAATAAAAGATGTGCACAAAATTTTCAAATTAGATAAACCTAGGCCCGTATGAAGTTGCTGGGTTTAATTCCTCTTGAAAATGTTTAACTTAGCAGTATACTCCACAGCAAACAATTCATGCAGGATTCATAAATATGATAGTGTGAAATATGATGTATCATCTGAACTGGTCACATTGCATTCTTTCTTGGCCAAGTAAGTACTGCACTTTGTTTCATTTTGAATTATAGTAAAAAAATGAAAGGAAAGTTATAAAGAGTTTGTAATTGCTATTTCCCATGATATTTCTGATTATTTTGCTCATCATTTTCCTTAGTTTTATTGAGACAGAATTGTTAGATAGCATTGGTTTAATTTCAGGTTTACAACAAATAATGGTAATACACACACACACACACACGTGGTCAAATGAACACAATAAGTTTGGTTAACATCCATCGTATCTAATAGTCACATTTTCATTCCTGCATCACAACAACTTATAACTTGAATGGTAGAGAAAAAATTAAAATTAGGAATGTGCTATCAGTTAATCCCACAAAAGCTAATATTGCATATCCACACAAAATTGTTTCTTTCAATGTTTAGCACTTCTTCAGGAAATGTCCAGCATCCTCACATCTCAGTGACTTTAAGTAGTTATGTGAGAAGGCATCATTTAAGTTGGGCAGGTTTCTTAATCTTGGTAATATAACATATTGGTCAGATCTTTCAAAGTTTGACAGTTCTGTGACTTTTAGGATGGTTAGTAGTTTACATCATTTATACTCACTAGATGCCAGTAGCACCATTTGCAGTAAAAAATCAAAAGTGGCTCCAAGTATCCAAAACATTGCAGAGGAAGAGGAGAGGGGGTACAACTGCGCCAAGTTGAGAACTATAGATCTAAGTGAAACCACAGATTTGGATTTTCATTTTAGTTGAAAACTTAAATCAAATAAAGATATTCTGATCAGGCACAAGAATACTATAATCAAATACATTATTAGGTAATAAACTATTAAGTACATAATTAACATCTAAGTTGACAAAAATACACAATTTTATCATAAGTCATGTAAACTTTAAACTTTATCAAGGTAGCAGTAGCAAAAATAACTATTTCTGATTTTCAAAAATATCACCCAATTAAAATGCTTCCTTTCACCATTTGATGAGGATTTATAGAGGTTTTGGTCTGGTCCAATGTGGCAAGGAGTAAGTACAGGAAGTTTTATCTGAAAAATGAACATGGACCAAGTCTTATAAATTGGCCCTAGTGCTATTTCCTATCATAGCTCCTGTTTGTTTACATTGGAGTTCTCAGAAATTGGGTGTTAGTTCCTTTCCACTAAGTTTCAAGGTATTAACAGCCAAGAAGGTGTTTTTTGACTTCTTGCTCCCTCCTTTTCTCCCACTTCTCCCAAATAAATAATGCATTGCTTGGAACACAATTTTAAGACTGATCCCCAAACTTCAAAACTAAATATGAATTTATTTTACTTAAATCCACTTTTACACTTGAAAGTATACCACTCTCTTTTAAATTGAAATGAGTAAAATATGTACCTTCTAGTAGATACCACTTTCCAACAGAATCATTTATCTAGTCTTTTCACAGCTAAAACTTGCAAATTCTTAAGTAAATTGGTTCCATTTATTTTGACTTCCTGCCTAGGCTTTTCTAGCCAGAGAAAACATTACACTAATATTTTCATCCATTAAGTACTCCTAAATTTAAATATTACCACACAAAATTTCTTACCCTTACTTAAAAAAAAAAAAAAAAAAAAAAAAAAAACAGCGAAAAGACAAACCCATTAAGTAAGCACAGATTTCTTTTATTTGTGCTTGTCTAGTTTTAAAGGGGCACATAGTAGTATCTCCATGAGAGAGAACCATCTGTATGAACTGATACCTAAAGTGGTAAAACAACGGCTTTATATTGAATATGTGGCAGTGTCTAACAGCTGAAGAACTACCCAGTGAACAGCCAGTGAAAAAAGCTGTTGAAAGTTCGCGTACCCAAATGCACATTCATTATAATTAAACAAGAAGATTACACAGACATTGCTGACAAGGATTATCAACACAGAATGGCGCCACCTGCCCCTTGGTCTCCCATTAATTAGTACAGTCTGAGGTGCCAATTAACAAGAGGCAGAAAAGGATCAGTAAACACAACTAAAGCTTAACTTGAAAATTAACTCTTTTAGTTCAGGTTCCATTTCTCAACCATGCTATGCTGATTTGTCTATGCAGCCCAAAAATTGAATCCTAAGCTATTTTTTGTTTAAAAAAAGTATTGTTAGGAAGACATTTCAATAATTCCCAAAAGAGCTGCCCCAAAAAATCATCATACATGAACAAGTGACCATTCATTATTTCACAGAGATGCAAAATACTAAATAATCCAGGTAATCCCAGTGACTAAAATATTTTCACATTATAAATTACAAATCTGTGGTAGTTAATATTAAGTCTAGGAAACAACTAGAGTACTGTATGTTTAGTAGTAACTAGCAACCCCCACCCTCTGCCTCCAGCTACTAAATAGCACCTTATGGGCCTGAGACCAATTTTTTTTTTTTAAGTGAGTAGAATAAATGGATTCATTATGGGTTTAATGGAACTATTATTAGCTACTTTTAAATTTAACCAGCCACTCTTTTTAAAAAATACTTTCCAAAAACAATATAGGTATTTCCATACAATTCTCAACTCAATCTATATAACTTCTTTATAGACAATATTATTATTCTGGAAACCTAAAAATAGTTCTTTTTAAAAACTACTGTTAATACAAATTATTAACAAAATTTAAATGCAAATATTATTACATTGTTACATGGACATAAGAACTAACATGCATACTTTAATAACCATATTTTATTAAATATTTCATTTTAATTTGTGTAATAAATTTGCTTTACTTATTATGAACTGACTTTATGAAAATATTTTCCTCAAAATTTAGAGGATTTTCCCTTACAGAGGTGTTCTGTATTTGTTTACACAAAAATACTCAATAGTATTTTTCTTTTTGATATACATATTATTATATCTAATATCATAGTCACCATAACTATAGAGCAAGTGTTCTAGACCAACGTTACTTGCAAATTCTGATAAATAAAATGCAGAATCCTGGTATCATAGAAAGATATATCCTGATACTCAAATTCCCTAATGGCATTGCAGTATATATTCTGAACAGGAATAATAACCTAGCAGAGTTGGAGAGACAATCAAATTAGATTGCACGTCGAAAGGGTTTATTTTTAAAAGTCACAACGAATTATTGACTCTAAGCTTATCTGCCCAGGAAAAACCTCAAATATTACCAATGACAGGGGACACTCCTAACACCTACCTTTGTGTTACACTTCTGGATTCATTAGATCTGGGGCAGAGCCTAAAAAAGCATACCAAGTGATTCTAATAAAGGTAATAAATATATAGCCTGCTACATTGTTGTCCTTAGATATGGACAAACACATTAAGTTCTGCATTTTACAGGTAACAGCTCCAAACTCTCTTCTTTTATTAATTAATTTGTACTGCCCTGATAACTAGTAATGTTGAACATTTTTTCATATGCTTGCTGGCAATTTACTTTTCTTCTTTGGAAAAGTTTCTTTTTAGCTCTTATGCCTGTTTTTTTTTTTTTTTTTTTGATTGGGTTTTTCACTTTGTTTATGTTGGGTTGTGTAAGTTCTTTACAGATAGTTGACATTAGTCCCTTGTCTATTACATGATGTGCAAATATTTTCTCCCATTCAGTAGTGTATCTCTTTGTTTTGATTACTGTCTCTTTCGGTGTACAGAAGCTTTTTCGTTTGAGGCAGTCCAATCTCTTTAGCCTGCTTGCCCTGCCAGTTTCAAGGAATCCATGGTACCAGCAGGATGTGGCTCTCTGAAATCTTCCCATCCCTTCCTTTCAGATCATATTTTGCATACTGGGGACCTTGGAATTCTCTTCCCAAAAAACCAGAGTGTATAGGAACATGGCCTATTCACAGGGTGGTCTTGAGCAAGTAGTTACTGGCTATGTGAGATGGAGTTTGGTCATAAAATCAGTCCCTGTGGCACAGTCAAGGGGTAAAATCAAAGGTGGTCAGAGCATCTCTCTCAGGCAACATTAGTCCAGCACATAATTCAAATACCAGAAGAATTCGACACTGAAACCTAACCTTCCAATTTCACTTTTATTTGTGAAGCTGCCTTCACGGCTTGTTGAAGACTGAAGAGAAATCTTACTGTTTCCTTATGTGACGTCTGCATATTGGGTTAGTGAAAGAGCACAATGTGAGTGAGTAGCTAAATCTCAGGCGGGGATGAAAGAGCATCTTCCTATACAAAGAAAAAGAAAGTGGGTGTTTTCTCTGTCAACAAATGTTTGGAAGAAGAGAACAAAGAGCAAAGAATGAGGATAAATCCTTTATCCTATTTCTTTCTTCTGTCTGGTCAGTGCTGTTTGGTCTCCCTTGTAATGTTTGCTAGCCACAATTATTTGGCATAAATCACCGTTTTACTTATTTTTTTCCAATTGTGGGTTAAGTGGTATATATGTCAAGGTTAGAGGCTAAATGCACTTTTTTTAACAGTGTGTTCATTTATAACCTTCAAATAGACATATGGTATGTAGTCACATTTATACTTGTGCCCCAAGTTCTGCAAAAGTTGGGGTACATCTGGAAATCCCTTATCCCTTTACAAATATTGTGTTAAAGAATATCTTCCCCTCCCTCCTTCTATTTGTTTCCCCTCCTGCTCTCCCTATTCTAACTCTCCTCTCTTTATTCCCTCTCTCACTCCCTCTTATCCCTATAATCCATACATCACTGCTTATATACAAAATGCTGCAAGATAGCTACTTCTTCCATCCTTTCAAACATACAGAAAGAGGAACGCAAAATGATACAGTTCAAATATTAGCCATCTCAGTTATGGTAACAAGTAGCAGAAACATGAAAACAAAGACCAAGCTATACTATATTTTCACACACACACATATGTGTATATGTGTACATATAACAGACATATTTATATACATATCTAAATTTGTAATATATAGGAGAGATAAAAGCAAATATTGAAAATCTTTACCATATTTAAGAAAATAAAATAAGTATAGCACATATACCTGGCTTTAGAGGTCTTAAAAATAAGCAGGGGACAGAATCTTTACTTGAAACCACTCCCATTAAACATCAAGGTATTTGGAGGAGTGAAGTTACTCAACAGTCATTTGTTGAGTGTATTAAAAATGAAAACAGTAAAATGCTAACAATTGCATTGAGACAATACTAATATAGATTTTAAGATTTATTTATTTACTCATCAAGAACTAGGGTGTAGGCCAGAGATGTGGAGGGTAAGCGGCTTCACCACAGACAGAGTGGAGAGCAGAACAGGCAGATCTATTGAAATACATTGCTGAGGGGAGCAGCATACACGTCAGGAGAGGTCTGTTGTGCCATGTGGGAAGCTCACTGGCTAACCGGGATGGAACTCGTACTGAAGAGGCTGCAGATAGCTTCACAGTGCAGTGCTTAACCCCTTGAGGCACCATGGAGGTCCAGCACTAATGTTTTAAACTTCAGACCTTACTCTAGAGGCTAGAGAAATATCAAACTCTTGATCTCAGGATTCCTTTACAGACATAAAATGTTACAAAGGATCTAAAAGAACTATTTTTGTTTGACTTGTTTTTTTTGGTTTACTTACCATAGAAAAAATGTAAATTAAGCCCTTTTTAAAACATTTATTGCTTTAAAATAACAATGATAAATCTATAACAGGTTACCATAAATATTTTCACAAAAATAACCATATTTCACCAGATAAAAATAAGTATGAAGGATGTAACTAAATTGAAGACAGATATTCGACACTCAATATAT